CCCACCAAAAGGTCATGTGACATGAACAATAACAACATTACTTTTAATTAAAACGTGCCTTAGTATCTACAGTAAAATGGAGTTGGTATTACGTTTCTCAAATACTCACAAATTTTCTCGCATAAAAGCCAATCAGGCAGGTGTACCTCACAAGTATAACTATCAATAAACCTGATTAATTAGGAGTTTTCCTTTCAATAATTCATAACAGAAAGATAAATCGAAATCGTTAATTGGATTTACTGTACCTTAGCTGATAATTAGATCTACGTGACTCTGATTCATTATCTTCTATTAGTTTTTCTTCGTGTGCCATAGTTACCGATTAGTCATAAATTTTAAAATGGCTCAAAATATCTGAAGTTACTGTTCTGGTGGCCCAATTATTAACATGCTCAGTTGTCAGGTCAGAGATAACCGGGAACAACTAACTTCTAGCCACTTCCACTTCTACGGATAGCCAAACAACTTTGGTTAATTATGTTCAACAAATGGATTGGTAGGGAGAGAGAGTGCTTCTCGGTGGCGTGTCATCAGATTTCTTTCCTTCTATTCAAGATGGGAACCTATTGGACTACCTTCAATGCGTTTGGAACATATGGGTGCGGAGTTGCCTTTCTCTGTTACTATGCTACTAATACAATTGTCTGCTATTTATTTTCATTTTTAACGGATCAAAATTCCTTGTAAATTCATCTTATTGGAGCCTACTGATCCAGCTCAAATTGGTACTCGGGATAAACTCATTTCTAACGAAGTGGTTCACTCCTATCCAGGGGTATTCCTTAAGTGATCGAGATTAGAAAGTATAGCCTTGTTAACATCACCACAACATCTACTAGACGTTAAAAATCGATAATAGGGTGAATAGATAAAAAATACGGATATAATAGGGTAATTTAGAGATATTAGTTGATAAATTAATAAGCTTTAAAGGTTTTGTGATTGCTATCATTCAACCTTTAGTTAACTTCAGACAGACACAAAGGTAGAGAGTAGGGTAAGGTGAGTACTTTAGAAGTGGTCGAAAATGACGTACAGTCCGATCATGGTAGTTTAAAGTTAACTGCCGGTTTACAGACTGTTTGTGTTATGAGTATACATTTCCCAGGGTGCGTCACGTGGGAGCAAGTCCATCGCTCACCCCTTAACCATTAATAGATTCGTTAACAAATATCGAAACCTTATGATTGAGTTTAAATGCATAGTAATTTCAAATTTTCAGTATGCTTAAAACTAACTAAGTTTAAAGAATGAAATGGATGCAGTGTTATTGATCCCGATATAATTGGCATTCCGGTATAGTTTGGTTGGGCAAAAAACGTCTGTAGCACTCCTTTCCAAGTGCAAGGTAAATCTCATATTAAGTTGGAAGGCAGAAAAGCGAATGCATCAAGTTGGCGTATAATCACGGAAGCACGCGCTCACATTTGAACCAATTGGATCGATGATCTCCGTTACGTGGGGTTTGAATCACGGTAACTACTCACAAGTATATAAATGCACTCCTCATGTCTTTACATTTTTATTGGTATCATCTACTACAAAAATCTGATCTTTTCGTCATGAAATCCGCAACGAATAAGAACTCAACAGCAACGGCACCAAAGAAACCCGTAACAAGTACATGGAAATTTGGAAATATTTTCGCCAAAAGCAATAACTCAACACTCAAGGTAATTTTGCCCTCCTAATAGTTATTTAATAGCACCTAAACATGTACGCCACTCATTTTATTTCATTTCTCTCAACGAATTTTATTTTTGACAAAAAGTAAGTAAACGTTGACTCAACGTGCTATCAGGAACCAATGAGTTCATTCTACCTATAAATACGCCCAAATATATTTCTTTCCCTTTACTTCACAATGTCCCTTTTCTGGGTAAAGTTTTAAGCTGTCATTTAACAAAAAGGGACATTAAATCTAAGAAATACTTCTTCAACGCTAATATTATCATTAATATTTCTTTTGAAATAACCTTTCTTGATGACCACAAAATCAAGCATTATCGTATTGGATGGTTAAAGCGTACAAATCGATAAATGAAGGACGTTAGGTGTTCACAGTATATTTAATAATTTTTGATTTCAAATGAAGTATTATATGAACTTTTCCTAAACCTATATATCTTTATTTATTTTTTATTTAAATTTGTATAATATTTTCCATTTCAGAAGGAAGACACAATTAAAAATAGCACAACCGGTACCAAGGAAACCCTTCACTGGACTGAAAAAGTGAAGGGGCTCAATGCAAATGATAGAATGAAAGTCATGGAAACGGAGCTGAGAACTCTTGAAGACGAGCTTAGGGATAAGAGGGAAACAATTAAATGTCTTCGAGAACTTGGCTCCGGTTTTAGTTTAATATCTTCAGCTGCTGGTAAGAAAACACGAGCGGTATATTTGTTGCCATATTCATGCCAACATTATTATTCATAAATATAATGATGTAAATTTATGCAGAAATTTTAATTATTTCATGCCCAAGTCATAAGTATTTATATTTTTTAATTGGCATCTATTCAGGCCTACTTTTATGTAGATAATATACGTTAATAGCTTATTATTGGTCAAAGTAATTGAAAATGAAAAATCGTTGCAAAATCAGTACACTTGTATGCCAACTCTTAGTTGAATACATATTTTTATGGTGAACTTGTAGCGGAATGCTACACTATTAAGCCCCTCGATTTATGCTCAGCAATCTCAGTGTTTAGACCTCCCAGTTTGAAATGGCTCTGTGGTTTTACCAATGCTACCGCAGAGCCATAGAGGAATCAAGCGTATGGTGTGGAACACGTTAATTTCAGTGGTGTGTTTTGGGTTACGTGTTTTTTCGACACGGAGCTTAATCATTTTATTTATTTCAAATGGCAGGTGTTTTGATAGCTATCATTAGCCATTTAGTTGACTTCGGGCTTCACAGAGGGAAGGTTCATCAAAGTAGTAGAAAGTCGAGGGGTTGTGAACAGAAGAGTGATTCACAGATGTAAAAGAAGCAGGCAGATACAAAGGTAGAGAAAAAGGTAAGATGAGTATTGTAAAAAAGGGTCGAATATGACAAGCAGTCGGGCCATGGTAGTTTGAAGTGAGAAGTCAGCTGCCAGTTAATAGACTTTTTTTGCCGTATGAGTATACGTTGACCAGGGTGCACCACGTGGAGGTAAGTCTATCTCACACCCCGGAGCTTAATCATTACATACTGTTTTGGGTACGATAACTCTGTAATGACCATTGATTAATGATGGATCGAGATGTCACTGCACTCGTGACCTCATTTCCTCCTTAATGCACTCAGCCGCACGACCTGTACATTCCGGAATGTTCGAGCGCATGGAGATTCTTTGGTACAGACGTGTTGTCATTGTGTTCCGCACACACCTTCACTAACCCCTCCCCCCTCCACGCCACCCCACCCACAATCCAAAAGTGGTAGTTGTACTTCGTGCATATGGAAATGCATGTTACAAATATACTGTTTAGGTTGTTTGTGAAGTTAATTGAAATGTGCAGTTAAGCAGCATTAACAGCTGCTAAATTTACAATTGCTTGTCCTTGACTTACAGATTTCCACAAAATAAAGGACAAAGAGTGCCGACAACTCATCGAGGACACACAAGCTCTCTACCGTGAATTGGATGATTTTAATCAAACTGTCATCTCTGACGTCAACTCAAGATGCGACTCACCAGTCCCTCCTGTTGCCGAGCTGATGCCCTTATCAAATGGAGACAGCAACGGTGGACCGTTTTCATCCCGACACTATCAAGGCAACAAGAGCGACGCCTTGATCGGGCCTGCTTTTGTTACTAAAAACAACTCAAAACTAGCTAATATTCGATGGAATTGGGGAGAGCATAATCTCCGGGTCAGTTATCGAAAATCTCTTCAAAATGAGTCTTTATGCGCAATTTCAAACGTTAAAACCCCACTCATTCACTAGGCTGGAAGTAAATTACTTACATTCACTTACTATTGGTTTATTCGGGGGGGGGGGGGGGGGGGATTTCAAAATCATTAATATGAGTGATGTTGCCTATGTTAGGGGACTTCTTTTTGCATTTCATTCTCAATGGATTCATTTGCAAACTTGATTTTCTGAAACAATGTGATAAAATGCGGAGTAGCCTATGCAAATACTTAATCCCACTTAATGATGTAATAATTAAGCGCCCAGTATGCGATTTCTTTATAGATCGTTGAGTTGACCAATCGTTTGAGGATCGCATATAACTATATCAAGGGGCTGGAAGGCGGAGATTCAATTGCAGTTAAAAATATTCCAACGACTGAAAGAACTCCAGGTCAAAAGGAAAGGCATGCTCCGGCACTGTGGCATGTTCCAGAGGGAAAAGGCGTGGACGAAGGACATAAGAGTATGCTCCTTGCTATGGCTGGAAGTGCCATAAGCGACTCCGATGAAGATATTTACAAGGCAACTCCAGCGAAGTCCTTCTATGAACCACCATCTCAAATTGATAAGGCGCCCGTTTCCACAATGATGATAGGAAACAACTATAGCAGCACTTATGATAATGGGCAACAACCGGTAAGGGAATATTCACTTTAACCCACTTTGTGGCAATGATCGTTTTTTTGATTTAGTTCAATGTTAGTTAATACAATAATCTAGACGGCATTGAAAATTAACATGATAAAACTTTTCAAATCGATAAAATTAGAGTTAAATTTAAAGAAATTTTATTTTTAAATTTAAAATAAAACTACTGACAGGAAGCATTGAGGGTCATTAGGCGTTTAACTTAAATAAATTTAGCGATTATTAAACGTTCCGCAGTTGTAGCTGGAAGCTTGATTTAAATTAATTAAATTCGGATAAAGAAGAATAAGTTTGATTAAATACGATTGACGAGTTACAAGTGATGGTACTCTGAAATTCCAATAATTTCAGCTTGCTAATTGATAATGATAGGTTTTATTAAATACAACGAATTATAGAAATGTAAGTAGCTGTGCATGACAGTTTGAGGTGTTTTTAGCTCGCAATAGTTGTTTGGATTTCCACTTAAGTTTGGGAATAGTATTCAACAAACATGTCATATAATTTAGTTTATTTATTTATATTTATTTCACCTATATTTACTCGGATATTATATGTTTGAAATTTAATTTTTTATTTTCAGGACTGGTTGGGTAATGACGGAGAAATCCAAATCAAACCAGTTCAAGCCGTTTTTATCAACTCACTGCATGGCAAATTGGAGAAGATTAATGAAAGTTATAAAAACAATTCTTATGAAAACGTAAGCATTTATTTGTAAATATGTATGCCCTTGATGAAAGAAAATATTTTCTTCCCAGCTATACTATTGTCACAATAAGAGAGAAGAACGAAATCCTCTTGCCTATTGAATGTGGGAATCATATATTTTGCTTACACAAACTAAATAAATTATGGGCACATAGAGCACCGAATTAGGAAAATATGCTGGATATGAAATGACTAATTTGTCCTCTATTTATTATTCTAAATTTTGTATTTTTCTCAGTCGATTGGTGAGCCCAAAATTGTTCCCAGTACTGCAAAGTCCAAAAATCAATCAACGTCGCAATTCGTTTCACAAAATGCTCCCACTACAAGGCCACAAGTAAACGAATCTGACGTAATCTTTGTCCTTTTCTCACATACCAATTCTTATTTTCTCTAGGTTTCTGATACTGAGGAGTTTGGCAAAATATCAAGTCCGGGGCACAAGGCTTATAATTGGTCGAATTATACTGCCCAATCATCTTATGCAACGTCATCTACCAATAATAGACAAGCTCAAGTAAGAGTATAGTGAATTACTTCAAAAAAAGTTTTTTTTTGCGGATTTTTTCGGGGTACTCAATTAATTGTTTTTTACTTTTAGAACACATCTGGAATGACAAATCCTTTCAGTTACCACAATGAACAAGGAACTTTGAGCTATTCGAATGACTCAGATGTGGATTGAAAGGAAATAACATTTTACCACAACCTTGCATATCGAAAACTGCATTTCATCGACAATTGTATTGTTTACCAAAATCAAACTGAACTATCTCGGGTGTTTTTAGAAAAAAGTATTTCATAATGTGTTATTAGATTTCATAGATTTTCACAGATCTTGCACACCTACCTTTAAAAGCACAGATTTCCTTTATTAAAATTCTAACTTTTGAGTTATCTTGATCACTTGCCCTTTTAATTGTTTGCTGCAAATACATTGCACCTGGAACATTATTGACTTAGTCACGTGATTGAAAAGGGCAAAATCAAAAGAATAGCGTGACAGAAAAAAGGACATAGATAACCAATTTAATAATGATTATACTGTTAAATTTCACGCCGTTTCATGTCTTTTGACGACATCAGTACCAAATTCAATGGTCTTCAAAAGATCATTTCCAAAAAAACGGACTAATGTATGCTATTCGGGGTGAGAAGGATCGTAATCTAAATGACTAAACATCCACTCCTTTTCCACTTTCTGCTTTCACTCTGCTGTAAACATTCATTTTTTGTCCCTGTATTATTTATTTTTAACAAATATCAGGGAGGGGGGGGGGGGTAGAAGGGTGATTCACATATGTAAAGGGTAGAGAAAAAAAGGTGACGGGAACACAGTGGAAGTGATCGAATATGCCACGCAATCTGGTCTTGGTAGTTTAAAGTCAGAAGCCAACTGCCGATTTATAGACTTTTCCATACGAGTGTGCATTGAACAGAGTACGCCACGTGGAGGTAAGTCCATCACGTTTCCCTTGTCCGTATCATATTATGAGCAGAGTAATCAAATTGTAAGTACTGAACCACAGATAAATAAAAGAAACCCACAATTCTCAAATGAGGATCAGAAAGTTGACGGGGGGATGAATTGTTTAAAATGAAAACGATGCCAAATAAGATTTAGCCATGATTTACTAATAGAAGTTAAAGTGGAGGTAATTTTTTTAAATAATAACCTGCATTCCCACAATGGGGAGTCATTACACTAATTTTGATCCATGGGTTTTTAGTGCCTACACAATTTGTGTGCCACAGAAACAATTAAAACCTTGGGAGTCATATAAAAACAATAAGCTTGTAATGTTAACATATAGAGATTTAGTGACAGTTAAATTAATAATATTTGAAAATATTTCCATGACCATAAAAAAACTGACCTTAAAATAGTGCACAACAAGAATAAGAGATGGTATGTCTTGTAAATAGTAACACAGCAAACTTTCAGTAACTCGTTCAAACATTAATTTATTTACATCAAATGGCAGGCTTTTTGATGGTAATTTGACTTCGGAAGTCAACTGCCGGTTTATACACTTTTTTGCCGTATGAGTACACGTTGCCCGGGGCGCACCACTTGGAGATAAGTCTGTTGCACACTCCTCTCGTCCAAACTAAATTGTCACAAGCTGTTATGTTTTTTTCGGGTGTGTCATGTAATACTTCCATTCGCAGCATTCAAGGGAAGTGTCTTAGGTTGAATTCAAATGTTTAGGTGAAATTGATGATCATAGGAGAATGTAGCTTTAGATAAAGGATGATGGTGGCATATTCATAATCGGCTAAATTTGGTCCTCCGACAAACCCCTTGGAAAGGGTGCGCTTTTTATAATCCAGTTTTTACTAATACAGCAATCCCAATGCAGGTTGGATTATAATCTTATTAAAAAATATCTTTACAAATGCAACATGATCTGGTCTATGAACATACGGATGTGAGAGCTTAGGAAGGGGATAAAGTATTCAATTGGTATATCCAACAAAAGGTGTTCAAAACAGAGAGCATTGTTTAAACATTTCACCGTGAAATTTTGGATATGTGTGGATATTGGTGTGTTCGTGTTGGTAGCGATGTGAATTAAAGTGTCTCGAACTGGATTTATTTCGTCTATCTGACATCCCAGGTCTAAGTCTTTTCTCTAATGCCTCTATCTACTCATTCACCATCCCAGCCTCCTCTCAATCGATGAAAATTATTAAATGCACATTTCGTCGATTCAATTATTTTTCTTCGCTTTCGTTAAAGGTACATTTTCCTGCTGGCTATTGAATGAAGGTGAGTTATATAGAACAATTTTTGCTTATTAAAGTAGCACAATATGGGGTAAATCGGTTTGGAGTTTTGATGTACTCGCGCGTATTCCTGAGGTTGAATGACCCTGGTTACGTCATATCTCTCACGTGGCTAGAGCTTAGTTCACCATGCTGTTTATTGCAACATTATTCAATTTTAAAATCCCCTCTGGAATTTTATATGCTCAAAGTGAAAGCAAATATAACGATTGTACTTATTGTTGATCCTCTTAATAAATAAATAAAGTTGAGTGCAGGTTGAGATGTCGGTATTTTACAATACTCCTGTATATCATTACATGTGCACTTATTTTGCTGGATTTTTTCGGCCCTGATCACTATTTAATCTCGAATTGTCTAAATTAGCCTATTTAAAGTAATTACTTACGGCATTTAGAGATTTTTGCATGGAACAACAACAAACATTGCTGGGGTGCTTAGTTTCATGTTCATTTCTACTGAATTAGGTATTACAAACTTCAAATAAGATAGGCAGCGGTACGGATTAGATACAAAAAGCTAAATTACATTAGATCCTGCCGGTTGTCGTTATCTGGTTATTCTTTAATTATGTAGAACTCAAATTAATGAATTCTGAATTTCCTTAAGTGATCTACGTTTTCCAAAATTAATTTGAAGCATCGCTCCGTATGGAAAGACAAAACATATTTGCCTTTGACACTTTATTTAGGTAACTAGAATTGTTTTACAATATGTTACCATTTATTACCCTGCATAAATCACATAATTATAAAGTCGTTGAAAACGAGAAGAGCAAGCCACAAAGATTTATTTATTTATAATAAATTTTTAACTTATCTATATTTATTCGTAAGCTTTAAAATATGAAATAAAGTTGGTGTCAAAGTATCTATTTTATTTTTGCATTAATTCACCAACTGACATATTTCTTATATTATCCTTTAACTTATCGTTTCAAGGTCTAACCATCAATGCATTGATTTAAGGTTCAGCAATACGTCATCTTTGGTTGTTTTCTGTATCTGAATCGGGTGCGATTTTTGATAATATTGATTATTGAGCCTTTCAAATACATTAGCCGTTTTTATTTATTCTCTCTTTTTGCCGTTAACTTTTCTTTTCCTGGTAGAACAATGAAGTTAATAGTATATATGATGGTCACCTACCTTTTCATCGATTTGGTAGCCTCAACACTTATGCTACCATGGCTTCCTTCAATAATCAAAGAATTATGTGAAAAAGACGTAGGAATATTTTTTCTAACTTATTCAAATTTAAGACCAGTCTTAGGGCTATTTTAGACTTCGTTCATAATAAAATTCTCCCTGCTAAAGAAGGAGTTGACATTTCAGTCAGGGATGCAACCTTCATAGGAAGTATGTTTCCAACATATTTTTTTAATAAGATCTTCATTCAAGGTTGCGCCACTTCTCTTATGTCCCTCGCACAGTATCTCTGCTCTTCGACATTTGGAACAATGTCTGATACAATGGGAAGAAAGTCTGTCCTGCTAATTCTTTGCGTAATCATTATGTTTGGTTAATTTGTATTGTTTTAATAGTTCGTGCACATAGCTTCGACTCTTCTTCTTTCACAATCTGGAATATCTTTTGTATTCTTTCTTCTTGCTCGAATTCTGCTTGGTGTATCTCGCGCACATGTTGGAATTCTTTCCGCTATGATTTCTGATGTTTCTGATAGAGAGTCAAGAACAGCTGCCATGGCATCCCTAGGCATTGCTTATTCCTTGGCTTTCACTGTCGGTCCAAAAGCCAGTAGCTGGATCCTCAACAAGCTGTTTTTCAATGAAGGTTCCACTGGAAGTGTTCTTGGACCTCATATTGGTCTTTTCGCCGCTTCTCTTGTTTGCATTGATCTTCTTTTGCTCTACACATTTCCAGAAACCATAAAACCTAAAGAAGACACCGAAAAGAAGGTAATTCCTCTTGATGTGCATTTGAGATTCCATTTTAACAAGGTAATTCGTTCATATCTGTTTTTAGTCGGTCCCGAAACGTTCATTTTATCAGTCACTCAAGATTCTGAATCCGATTGAACTCTTCCGTTTCAGTGGAATTGAAGATGCTCGTGGTAGGTTTGCAATTGATAAGTATGAATTTATATGTGCCTACATGAGTCTACTTATACTAGTTTTAAATTATTTTAGATCGTACAAAAATGAAGAAAATGGCACAAGTTTTTTTCCTTCATATGTCACTCTACTCTGGGCTTGAGTGTTCACTTCTCTTCCTTGCTCAGCAGAGATTTAACTATACAGGGTGAGTATATTGATTTTTATGTTGACAGTATTGGGATTGAAAGTGTTTGAACATTTCATTTCCCAAAGATTAGCGTGTTACAGTAATGATAAACGGTGTGAAATTAGGTGATTACGTCACCAGTGTCCCTATGTTGACCTGTTGTGACTTGAATTAGGAAAATTGGACGGAATTTTACCTCCAATATTTACTGTTGTAAGGGGGTTCGAGAAATGTAGTAGAAAAGTCAACTTTCCTGTGTCTTATTTATTTTCGGCTTTCCTGGCACTATTACACTCACTGGCACGATAACTTGTCTTCTCTGCCAGCTTGTTAGTATCAGTCGGTAGTTCAATGACTTTATTGCTCGTAGATCCAATTTTACGGCGATATTAATCAATTTGCACGCTGTTTCGTAATCAATTTAGCATGTATTCTGGCAAGTCGACTTGAAGAGAGACTTTAATTGATGAATTGAACCGGTGAAATCTATAGTGTCGGTCCTTTGAATTTGGAAGTTTCATCATGATTGTGTCATGTCAAGTAATAAAGGTGGATAGATGTGATAATAAAGAAGCGCTTTTCTGACCAGGTTACGCTTTTATAACACTCGTTGTTATTATATTAAATAATTTGGGAAATTCGGCTTATAGACTTGTGGTAGAATCTCTTTATCTCCCATAATTGGCTTCAAAATTTGCTTGTTACTGAGGAATTGTTATATGTTCTTTTATCGTTTAATAGACATTTATATCAAATGGCAGACTTCCTGATGGTTATCATTAGCCATTTAGTTGACTTCGGGCTCCACAGAGGGGAGGAACATCTAAGTCACGAAATGTCGAGGAGGGGGGGGGGACAGAAAAGTGATTCAGAGACAGACATAAAGGCGGTGACAAAGGTGAGGTGAGTACTGTGAAAGGGGTCGAATATGACAACCAGGGGGTCGTGGTAGTTTGAAGTCAGAAGTCAAATGCCGGTTAATAGACTTTTGCTGTATGAGTATACGTTGCCCAGGGTGCACCACGAGAAGGTAAGTCTATCGCACACCCCTCGTTTAATAGACAAAACTACTCAAAAGTTTGTGTGCGAGGTTAAGATAACATTGCTAGAATTATCTTGGCTTTAATCTGACCTCATATGCCGTAAAATCTACCTTTAAAATATCCTCCTGGAAAGGAGGGGGAATTAAACAGCAAACGCTTGTCGTACCAACTTAGTGCGCAGTGGATACGAAATAGAATTAACTTCTCAAAAGTAATCTCGTGTGCCGAATGAGAGACTAATCAATACTTTTTCCCCCACTATTCGATGTCGTATCTTCAGTTCTTGAAGCATTCTTTATGATTTTAAATTGTGCGAGAATGCTCATTTTTATTATCATTATTATACTGAGCTTCATACAACAACTTATATTGTGTAAATGAATTCTTTTGTTTTTTGTTGAAGTAAATTTACTTTGTCCTTTGTGCAGTATCAAGTTACACCGATATAAAGTTCATTATCATACAAAATGAAAGGTAAATTCGGAAGCAGGCAACCAGAATAGTGCGTAGTTTTAATTTGCTCTAATCATGCATACGCAAATCGTTATGGGCCATCTTTTAGTTATGGAAGAGTCGACACGCCTCATGATTGGTTGGACAATTACGCAGTCACTTTTTAAGCAGCCAGTTAAAACTCGGCTTCCGGTTGTCTGATATCTGGCAAAGATAAACAACCGTTGGTAAACATAAACAGAATAGTTTCCTTTTTTTTCCATTTTAGTGAAAAGCAATCTCATATCTTCCTCTTCACTGGTGTTACCATGGTTATTGTTCAACGTGAGTAATAACGGCTCATCTTTAAACTGCATTTTAATTTTTCTTTTTTTCTTATAGATGGAATTATGAGATACCTCAAAGGTGGCCATGAGATTAAAACAGTCACGATTGCAAGTTTTAAATTCATTTAAAATCTTACCAGAGTCTTTTGTGTTTGTATTCTTACTCTCGTTGACCTCCTTTTCCAGGCCATGCTCCTCCAAGTTCTGGCTTATTTGACTTTTGGCTTCTCTATAACCGAATGGATGTTTTATACTGCTCTGCTGCTCTACAGCATTACTTCGTCTCTCTTCACCCCAACATTCAACAGTCTTGCCTCGCTTTCAATTGGACCTCAACATCAGGTCGGTAGCCAAAAATACTTACGAGTTCATTTGGGGGCTACTGAAGTAAAAAAATAAATAGAGCTATTGTCTTTTAGGGACAACTTATGGGCACCTTCCGTTCCATCAACGGTCTAGCACGTTGTGTCGGTCCTAGTTTGGTTGGAACTCTGATGTGGGGAGTTGGAGCTGCCACAGCTTTTACATTGGCGTCTGGGGCTACGATTCTTGTTGCTCTTCTCTTCAAGAACATTCCAAATCTTGACGAATTCAAAGCCAGCGGACAAGCCAAAGTTGATCCTTCGACAAAGAAGTCATCCTAATTTGCACACTCCTGTCATTTACATCGTCTATGTGTGCGTGGGTGTATGTGTACGTGTGTTTTTATAGCAATTCGGTTGATTAGGGTTGTATTAATCTAATAAAGTAGATTGTTTAGATGTTTTCCTTTTTCATTGACCTTGATATATGTGGGTAATGGGGACTTTAATCCAAGCAATTGTGCCGTTATAATTCGACTGGCACAATTGTCTTCGTTCCGCAAGCCAAATCCACATCAGAAAAGCCCTATTAAGAGCTTAATCTTTATTTGTAAAGTGGTTGTAAGAGAAACACTCGAAATTATACTCAAAGACAGCTTAATTGCCATAATTCAATGCCAAACGTAAAGCTGCATTGAACTAAGCTGCTCTTATCCATTTAAACCACATAATAGGAGTAGACGCTCTGTGTGACCTACAGGAGGAACTGGTGAAGTCTGTGGGACACGTTGTCGCTCTGTGCGTCATCGTATGCCTGCATGTCTGCTCGCCAGGATTATGTGGGACACGTTATCGCTGTGTGCACCATCGTATGTCTGCATGTCTGCTCGCCAGGATTGGGAGGTCTTATGCCTGCATGTCTGCTCGCCAGGATTGGGAGGTGCGGCAGTACAACTCTGTGTGCAGCGATACAAACAGTGACCAATCATTAACCTCTGTTTGTTTAACACTAGCCTCTGTTTGTTTAACCTAATCCCCCATCCTGATCATGAGTAGCTCCATGCGTGTGCACTTGATCCGCAATATACGTCCTGAATAAACGTGCTAATGATAAATATCTTGAAGCCTGCCATTTGAAGTAATAGGTATTCACATTTTAACAATGTGAAAATAGGAAGGTAGAACACTTTCATTTAGAGTGCATTTTCTTCACCGTGAGCAAGAGGGTGAGTAGAGGGTAAAATGTTATCACTGTTGATCAAACAATCTTTAAAGTGCAAACCAGTGAGCTCGGAAAATGTGCAGTTACCTCCTAGCCAATAGGCGATCAATATTTGTGCATCGTAGCATTTCTTACTGCATACCATTAGGGTTAAACTCTTTCCACAACATGTATTCCTATTCTCAAGATTTACTTAGCACATTTGTGCAGTATCCGGTACATCCCATGGAACCCCACTCAGAATAATAATAATGATGGAAATGCAAATCGGGTGTTTTGTAGTTCACTTTCCGAGCTAGGTACAACAGGATTCGAGTGTTTATTCCCCACCATCCAGAGAGAGTGGAAAACTGTACCCACATGAAATTCCTCATCTTTCCCTTTGCTTCTTAGTAAACGTGTCTTTTTATAAATTTTACGCACTTGTATTTAAACAAATTTTAGGACTATCAAAAGGATTACTAATTACGACCATATAATGCAATCGACATTAATAAGCACCCTGATTAATCTCGATATCTTGTGATGCATCATAAATTTACGATTACCTTATTAATATGCGCAAATACTTGCCAACCTCGATGGACACCACCTCCAATAATTCTAAGCCTACACTAACTTATCTCAACCACAAATCAACTGTCTTTCCTGCTCTTTTTAATGACGACCGACACGAGTTTTCAAAAGAATAGTTAAGGCAGTACCAACTAGAAGCAGAATTGCCTACCAAGGCGTGGAAGCGAGGAAATTTCCACAAAGTGGAATTACTTACTGGATACTATTGCATTGCTAATAGTCCTTCATAAATAAAACAGGAAAATTGATTTCATTATAAAATGCGACAATTTACACGTATGTATGTATATGTATATATGTATGTGTAACCCCAACCATCACTTCATAGATTGTGACAGGCATTCAATAGCAGGGATAGTAAGGATGCCACAAAGAAAGTGGGGGGGGGGGGGGGGGGGAGGGGGTGAGGGGAAAGGAGTGATATTTGCACAGAGGAGACAGGGTTCGAAGTTAAGAGGTGGGTAGGAGAATCACATGGTTATGAGTGAAAGGTCAAAAAAAGAAGTAAAGCATTCGGAGATTGAGGAAGAGGTGAGAAAACCACCAGTCATATATAATGTCTACTTAAATATTTACTAGTAGTATGGTAGCCATAATATAAGCATAAGTATAGCCGCTATATACAAAGGGGAGGGGTCAATTTGACCCATCTCCTCATACTCTTCTTCTTCTTGAGGTAGTAACATGGAGATTGTGCGGAGGAATAGAATATAGTTAGGTTGAAAGATAGGAACAGGGTTGTTTTCATTGATTTTTTGACCGAAAGATGTCAGTGAGATGTTGATTGCTGGTGTTGCTGTTTTTGTTGCTGTTCCATTAAGCGTAGACGAGCGAAATCTTCAAAGATTAGGTCATCTGTATCGAGGATTTGAGAAGTCTGAGGAGACACCATGGAGACAGAAGTTGAATTTCGGGGTACGAGGGCATTGGATGCTAAAGATTGATGGACTGGATCGGCTGCCACTGAGGAAGACATTAGAGCTGGAGAGGCGGAAGCTGAGAGCGAACCTTGAACACAACGACCGTTTGCAAGTCTATAAGAAAGTTAAAATGTGTACGATTCAACTGAAATTTAAAAATTAGTGGAACACATCAGTGAGACAATTTGGTGAGCGTGGAAAGCCCAGACAATCAGTTATTTATTAAAGTCCAAGTTACGGAAAGAGGATTATTTTCCAAAAGTGTATGAAAAATAAAAATATGAAACAGGAAATAATAAGGAGGTACGAATGAATGGCCATATGCATGTCATAGGCAATGACAACTGTTTTTCCTTGTTAGTTTGTGTAGTGACAAGTGCTCTTCTGGGAGCCTAGTTGATGGCTTACACAGGCGTCTTCTTTCCCCCACCACCAGCCCCCCCCCCCCTCCTCCACTTCCAAGAGCGAGTTTTGCTATTAACTGGAGGGCTATTTTGTGAGTGGAATATATTCAACGATAGACTTACCTCCACGTGGTGCGCCCTGGACAACGTATACTAATACGGCAAAAATATCCATCAATCGGTAGTTGACTTCTGACTTCAAACTACCATCACCTCACTGTATGTTATATCCGACTACTTCCATAGTACTCATCCCACCCTTTTCCTTTTTGAAACGCTCTTCTATTCCCACCCCCTTCTCGACTTTTTTCACTCTGATGTTCAATCCCCTCTGTGAAGCCTGAAGTCAACTTAAGGGCTGATGATAACTATCAAAACGCCTGCCATTTGATATAAATAAATAAATATTCAACGGAGGGGTGTGCGATGGACTTACCTCCACGTGGTGCATCCTGGGCAACGTATGCTCATACGGCAAAAAGTCTATTAACCGGCAGTTGGCTTCAGACTACCATGACCCCATCGTATGTCATATTCCACTACTTCCACTGTGCTCACCTCACCTTTTTTTCTACCTTTGTGGCTGTCTCTTTTACATCTTTGAAACACTCTTCTGTTCCCCCCCCCATCTCGCAACCTTTTTTCACTTAGATGTTCTTTCCCTCTGTGCAACCTGAAGTCAACTAAAGGGCTAACGATAACTTTCAAGATGCCTGCCATTTGGTATAAATATTCAAGGGAAAACTAAAAACAGTTATGTGAAAGTACTCCCTCCCATATGGCCAATAAGAACTGAGCAAACCATATGGAGTTTTATCTACACCTTACGCTGTAATTAATCATAAAATTGATTAAAATGTGCTTGTGTGTGTATATGTACCGAAACGAAAAAGGAACAAGTCTGAGTAAATAGAAAAGCATGGCGATTTGCACTGGAACCAGTCCATATACCGAAATCAATGATTATCTATTACCTCGGCTTGAGTTAGTGAACTTAATATATTTCAAAGTGAATAAAGCCTTCAAAAGCATTTCCTCAAACGAATGAAGTTCGTTCAGGTGGAGCAAAATTTTTGGTCTGTTGTCTCATCTCTGTCATATTAAGGTCATGCAAAGCCACTCTACTTTTTCAATCATAGATGACAAACCCCATCTAACACGACTTTCAAAATGGCCAATAAACACGGAGCATATGGGGGATCAATAAATTAAATTTTCGAACTATTACTGCTCATTTAGCGAATGGTGCCCAAGTTTGATTCAAAATTCTAATGAATTATTAAGATTCTTTCATGCTCGGAATTCGCTCACAAGAAGGGAGGGGGGTAAGGCATACATCTGGACTCGGCAGATTCGTCGCCATCTCTAGAGTTGCACAACTGTTGGCATAAGCATCGATTAACAGCTGACAGCAATGCTTTATTAGATGGGGTGTGCAATAGACTTACCTCCACGTAGTTCACTCTGGGCAACGTATACTCATACGGCAAAAAAGTCTATTAACCGGCAGTTGACTTCTGACTTCAAACTACCATCAGCACACTGTATGTCATATTCGACCCCTTTCACATCTTACCTTTTTCTCTATCTTTGTGTCTGTCTGCCTCTTTTACATCTGTGAATCGCTCTTCTGTACCTCACCCCTCGACTTTCTTCTACTTTGGTGAACCTTCCCTCTGTGAAGACTGAAGTCAGCTAAATGGCTAATGATGGCTATCAAAAGGCCTGCCATTTGAAATAAATAAATAAATGCTTTATTAGAATTATAATTGGATTGTTAGCTGAGTCACATTGGATACATTTGAACACCACTGGAATAAGTGATGTGGATTGACACGATTTTTACATAACATCAGGACTAAGAAACACTTACCCATTGCTACTGGCCGCTCCCTGTTGAGGTTCTACAAATCCCCACAAAAAGCTATCCAATGCGTCCACCGCTTCGTTAGACGTAGTCATTGTGCCACTTCCATTCACAATTCCAGACGTTTGCTGAGATTGAGGCAATGGCGACGCAAACGCTGCCATTCCATCCGGCATCTCCGAAGCCCTTAAAAACTCCGCGATATGTGGTGGTGATTTCCGCTCTCCATTCAATCCACTGCCACTCCCATTGACATTGGTGGCAGCAGCTCGCTTTGCAAGCAAACCCATTTGGGGTTTAGAAGCGGCTGCTGTCGACACAATAGCGGTCGATGTCGCTGAAATAGGAACAATTGCGCTAGCAGATGGCCCACCATTATATGAAGGTTGAAGGGAGAGTGAAGCTGGTGTTGGAGGAACTGAGAAGGAGCCTCCACCCCCTTCACCCCCACTACTTTCGTCCCCAGGTCGACCAGCTTCTGTGAAGTGGAAATCGTCAAGAATGCTATCCGTGGGAATTCCAGATTCACTTTCTAGGAGTGCAGGATTCGGTTCGGGATTTGGATGGGTGAGAATAAAGGGCAGTTCCAAGCAAACGTCACTGAAGAAGCATAAAACAACGCGCAATTCAATTACCAATAATAAGAACATGAGATTAAATTTGAATTAACCCCTAGTACGTCTACTTGATATTACCTGCATGCTAACACCTCAATAGACTAGGTTACAACTTTTACAAGAAGCATAAACGAATCGAATGTGGTCAACACACAACATCTCATAAGTCAGAGAGGCCATGAGATCAATGCCAAGGCTGAGTGTGAATTAATTGGAATATAAGAATTCGAGTTTTTGTTTAGTGAAGGCTTCTAGAGCATCCATACTATATTATTTCCATATTGGGATTGAGAAGCTTGCGAATGAATATTATGACAGGTTATTACCTTCAAACTAACCTTACTCCGGAAATGACAACCCGGGTATCTCCAAATCAAGGAGGTCTAGATAGGTGTCATATGAGATTAAAAGAAATCTTTAATTGTCTCAGACCCGCACCTCCCAATATATAAAATCTTGTCAGTTAATCCACCCTATAGAGAGCTTTGCCCTGTCGGAAGTCGGTGGAAGATACACATGACTGGATTTGGTATGACCAGCCGCAAGACAGAGAAAATTAATCGGTCAATAGGGACCCAGGTATCGCGCGCGCAGATGCACCCAGAAACGTAGGGATCAGGTCGTAAAAAAGTGAGCTGCGGGATTATGGCCCTTACGACAACCAAATGCATTTGGAATTCAAATAAAGTGTGTGACTAATGATGTCCTGACTTGGCAACTATTCCAATCCCGCCTCCTCCCTGGTCCCAGCCCCCTGCGCCCCATCTCACCCTTTATGTGACGCCATTGCTATTACTTTTGCCCAGATATGTCCCAATGACAAAAGTTAGAATTCCCTTGCATTGTTCTTAGGCTATATTAATAACAATTTGATGCTATTTAGTACTTTATCATACTACTACTACACAGTGAGTTCTTGACTTTCAGCAGCCGATTCGTTCACATAAATGGACTTATCTTTTGAAAAAACGATAATATCGCTACTATTTGGCTTCATAGTAGAAATAGAAGGTGAATCATTCGACAATTAATTGCAGTTAATTTCGGTGAATCACCAGCTGGATATGTTGAATTCGATTTATGTTATATGCCTAAATGATAGCCAAACTATATATCCATTCATATTTGCCAACGAGAGGATCAAGAATTCGAGGCTACAAATAGCGACCGTGTAAGGACTTCAAAAAATGCCAAGACGTCGTCTTCTATTTCTCACACAACCAACTGTCAACATTAGCGATCACGAGAAGTAAAAATTGGAAGTACACGAAGCGTGAAGAACAACTGCATGTTGCGTCTCCGTGCGGGTAGAGGGAACTAGCACTAATGACAAAAATAAATTATATTATTTTAAACCATATTCTCTTTCATCGATAGAAAAAAATCATTGAGGCCATAGTTGGCACTTATTCAAAGCATCGAATTACTAAGAGAGCAAAACTTTACCAAAAGCCCTGTTTAAAAAATAAATTCAAAGCTGCCATTATAGTTATGAGGCAATTTTTGACTGATTTATGTCAAACATTGAAAAGAAATTAAATTTAACTTTGAAATTAGTTACGAAACAAAAATGGACAGATTTCAATAACCTAAATCACATCTGTGGAAGTGCTCATTAAAAAAATCGACTTCAGCAAAGTCATTATTTCAGGACATATGTTTAAAGGTATTGATTATATTGATTACTCGTGGACCTCCCACTTCGTCTTCTAGAAAATTCCTGTACTTCAATGTAGGACTAAACATCGATCGAATTTCTCTACATACTAAACACAATAATTGATTTTTGCATCCATGAGTGAATAATTGTAAATTTTTGAGTTCTTTATTTACTTCCAACCGAGTGGTTACAATAAGACACATTTCACAATGAGCTCAGGCTGCAATCTAAACGCTGTTAAAACCTCAAAAATGGTTAAATGATTATTCCATTAAACAATTACCAAGAACTGGATTTAAATCTATTGCCGTGTACCAAAACAGGCTTATAGAATGACCATCGATGACCCAAGTAAACCAGATGAGTGGCAACACATTCACAGCCGATAGTTCTTTTTAGACAAAAAACAACAGTTTAGAAAGATAATAGAAGCAAAAAAAGTTAGCTTACATCTCAGTCTGTTTTAGGATGAAGTCAATTAATGAGAATTTGTAATCTTTTTACCATTTGAAAAAAAATTTGGTGGTGAGTTAATCCAAGCCGATTTGAAGCATAAGAAACACTGAAAATTTGATATTTAAGCTAATGGAAAAATATACAAAAAATACTAATAAAGAACTAAAATATGGGCCTTTAGAAAAAATAGTGCGAAAGAAATAAGACTGAAAATTAGAAAGGTAAACAATCCAACATATCAAGATAATGTAATCAATAAATCAATGCTAATTTGATTTATGCACAGCTTTTATTCCTGTTAAGCATAATTATAGATGTCCATACAATTTCTACCCATTTAAGTAGTATTTTACGAGCGAAAAAAATGAAACAAGGAGAGAGAAGGGCCAAGTTACCTGAGACCGAATCCGAGAATGAGACGTATTTTCACCTTGTATTGCACGACTATACCCACAGCCTCCCGAGAGGAGTTAGGAGGAACACTAGAAGGAGTAAAAGGATCAGAATTAGACTTAGCTAAGCCAATGAAAAGTGATCCAAATGCCAAACTGGACTGTGGAGTGGAAGAACATGAACTCGTTTTGGGAAAGATGCCAGGATAACTGCAAGCTGTTCAAGATAAACACTGATAGGCTTTCGTGGATAAGGTCAGTGGTCAAATGAATACAGGCAGATGATTTCCATGAGATTCAATGGTGAAGGAGTGTATATTTCTCCACAACGGGGCCCGCATTCCTTAATTTTAGCTGAATTTGCTCGGTTTGAAAAGGTACCGAGCAAGCAGTAAACCAATGTTTAGAATGGATAGGGTATGGTGATCTATAGCCTCCGTGAACATTCATTTGTTAATGAGTCTTGCTCAACGAGTCTTGAAAGATGGTTTCGTCATTAAAGTCATATTAGAGGGAAATCAGGCAAACTGTTAAATATTATCATTGTATTAAATTGCAGACAAGAGGGAACTTGATAATTTATGATTTTCGCAAATCAATAGCTGGAGAATTTTACAATTAACCCTTCATTCATTCGAAACTTTCACTTTTAAAAGCGACATTAATGGGAACAAGGAGAAATAAGTCAACCTGGACAGCGACTTAGAAACATGGAATTCGCAAATTTAAACAGTACAATTCGGAACAATTATTAGAAAGCGTGGGAAGTTAGCGATTTCACGGTGTCAAATTTCGGTCAAACATAGATTCTCGGAATGGGAATCATAAACGTAGTCTAGTAGCACTTTAAACGGGAAATAGTTTACAAAAATCTGACAATATAATGAAAACTTAACTCAAATATCATCAACAGTGATATTTGCAAAGAAGATGACTAATTTGTGATATCAGAAAACTAGAGATTGAACAGTTTTCAACATGTACGCCTAACAAGTTGGTGGAAGTCATGAAATCAGCGTCCACCACCACCAGTGACGTGGTTAAATAACTGAGCCTGGTTTCTCAAAATATCGACTGCGGGATGCATCCCCTCCATCCATAACAAGTGTTGTTAACACTCCCCTCATGTGTATCTTGAGAAAATTTTTAGCCTTTCATAGCTCACTTAAGAGCAATAGAGGATTGAGACGTCGAAATCAATTATTAAAAAATTCACTCAAAGGATCGAGCGTGATTTCGGAATCAAAGCCTTTATAGAGGCTGTGAGGACATGTCCTGCTTGGAATCCTCGACGTGAGTGGACAAACATGTCGTTGTAGAAAGGGGGAAGGGGGAGAGGGGGTAGAGAGAACTCACATGGTGGAGGAGGCAAGATTGGTGTCCTCATTTTTGAGGTCACCGTCGAGGGCGAGACCCGACTTGTCCCGGTTGTCTGCAAGGAGGGGGCGTAAGCGATACACCTTGCACCAGCCCGTTTGACTAGGCCATATTGGAAAGCCCTCTCTGAAAAACACGAATGGCTAATTAATTTGGCGGAGAGAATAAATGAACCATTTTTTTTCATGATACATTAAATCAAATCTATGAAGAGCACTTGCTATGACCAAGGAAACGTAAACTGAAAGACCATTTATTAAAGGAACCCCCCCCCCCC